GGGCAAGGTAGCACCTTAAAAACTAACTTATTCAGGTATGCCTTTTTTATAAAACAAATTATGCTGATAGTGGGCATGTCTATACATGCATTATTGCACCTTTCCTAATGCACGCTAAATTTAGTACCTCCAATGTAAGCTACTGAATGCATGTTAGGCTGCACTAATGCACAGTAGTGCATTTGCACACTTTCTTAGTGACAGTTAATGTACAGTAGACTTTTACTGTTCATTAGCGTAATGTCATTTTTTTACATGACACTTTAATGTGCAATAAAATAGTCTACTGCACATTAAAACACACATGTAGATGCACCCAGTATGTTTTTAAAATAATAATCTCTTACATATTTATATATGTTCCTCAAATACATTATACCTTATTGTTTTGGGAAGTGGTTCTTTCCCTCTATTCAGTACTAAGGAGACCTCACTTAGCATACCGTATCTAGTTTTTGGCCTCAAACTTCACAAAAGACATAGCCAGATTGGAAAGAAACCAGTGGAGAGCAACACAAATGATTAGAAGCTTAGGAAGTATGGCTTATGAGGGAAAGCTGAAAGAAGTAGGGTTATTGAGTCTGGGGGAAGGAAGGTTGAGCGGGGGGATTTCATAAGTCTTCAAACACTTGAAGGGCAGTTAGAGAGAGGATAGAGAGATGGGCTTTTGTCTGTGGCTGTAGGGCAGAGAATTAGGGGCCGTGGCCTCTAGCTGCAGCTGAGGAAATTTAGGTTGGAGATTAGGAGGAACTTTCTGGCTATGAAAGTGGTCAAGCATTAGAACAGGCTACCTAGAGAAGTTGTGGAATCTCTGTTCCTGAAAATTTTTAATAGCAGGTTGCACAGACATTTGCCTTGGAATGGTTTAGTCAGGGGATGCTCCTGCCTTGAACAGGGAGTTGGACTAGATGACCTCATGAAGTCCCTTCCAGCTCCACTTGCCTGTGATCCTAAGGCAGGCAAATCTGGGGTCCCTTTCCATAATATATTCCATTCATCCTGATACACAATGCAGAGACTGATTGCAGATCTGTATTTTTTTAAAATTTTTCTAAGGTGCAGGGATGGCAGGTAAAAGGCGATTAAAAAAAATGGATTTTTTTAACTTTACTTTGAAAGCAAATCTACTTAACACTTGATTTGAAATTCAGAATTCTGTAAATGCCTGCACTTATTGCAAATACATTTAAATTAGAATATTCATGCACTACCAATTTGCTCCCAGAATTTTAAAGAAAATCATGCATTGAACTGATGGAAGTTTATGGCTAATAACCTGGGTCCAGAGTTCATTGAAATGTTAAACTAACTCTTGATAGCCCCAATTTTCTCTGCAAGTACAGAGAGAAATTTATACCGTTGAGATGCATCTGGTGTTTGATATCCTTAGTATCAACTTCCTATGATTTTGTTAGGGGCCTGTTGAAATTGTACCGTTAAAGTTATATTTCAGTCTCTTAAGATTTAGCTCAGTTTAGGACAGAGACCTGTTGATACATCCTTTCATTGTTCTTTTTGGCTTTCGCGGAGGGCATTAGGAAAGATTAGTTCAGGCGTTAGGCACTACTTCAGGCCATTGATTCTCTTACTGCCCCAGCTGTCTCGGCTCTGTATGGAAAGCTACTCTCACATGCCTAATGCAGCCGCTGCTTAAAAATGTGCTGCTGAAAGCAGTGGAGAGGGTGAGCTTGAATTGGCTATAAAGATGGTAAGCAGAGGCTGCATGGGGGAGGAGGGGGCAGGATAGCAGTCCTCAGAACAGAGCTTGGAGGGCTGGAGCAGCAGCAGGGGATTGGTGTACTTTTAGTAAAATATGAACTAGATTGGATGGCTGGAGTATCAGCAGTGGATTGGCACATGGTTAATAAAACACAGGCCAGATCCAGTCTTTTTTGCAACTCATAAATTGCTGACCCCGGTTTAGATGACTCAGCCATTCTCCCTTTAGAAAGAGCCAGATTGTAAATGTTCTGCAGCAAGTGATGTAACTACAGATGCTGGGCTTCTTGAGATGTAATAAAATCTGCAAAAGACTGGAAGCAGACAAAGCTTGCATGGCATGGTGAGCTGGCTCCTCACAAGAACAAATGAGTTCCCTTAAAAGATTATTTTAGCATGGGGTGCTCAACCCTTGGCCTGTGAGCCAGAGTGGTAGCTCACCAGTCCAGGCAGGGGCAGTACAGGCTGTCAGGCCCCAATCCTGATGTGTGAAGGCAATGCAGGGCCCCAAGGTCCGATCCTGGCCTGCGATGGCCAACTGAGGCCCCATGGGGCCCAATCCTGATACGTGGGGCTTGATCTGGCCTAAGGACTGGCCCGGCACCAGGTACCTGGCCAAGCAGAGCCAAAGCTTGAGCACCACTGTTCTAGCAGATGGTGGGAAAGGTTATTTGTAGAGTGCTAGCTACTCAGATTTTCTAGCAACATAAATTGCTGGTGGTCATACTAGAGGTGGATCATACAGAATCTCTATTTATAATAAATTTCCATTAACATTTTCAAGCCCAGTGCTGGAAGCAGCCCATCTTACTAAAAAGGGGTATCATCTTTTTTGTGATGGCATGATGTGGTGAACCCCTGCCTCTCTATCCTCTCAAAAGGTTTGCGTTTCACAATTTATTCCTGGTTACAGGAATGGTTACTAAAACACAGACCAGATCCAGTCTTTTTCTGACTCATAGACTGCTAACCCCTGGTTTAGAAGACTAAGCCATTCTCCCTTCTTTAGAAAGCCAGATATAACTACAGATGTGTGGGGGGGTGTATGTGTGTTTAATCCTGCAGACTTTTAGGACATGTCTACATTAGGGAAAACGATGTGTGACAGGCAGCAGGGGATAAACTGCTTGACCTCCCCACAACACCTGCCCCCTATAAATTTGTTATAATTTTTCATGTATAACATCTAATTATTGGGGGGTTGTCTTGAATTCAGGGTCATTTTAGATTCAAGTAAAGACATCTGATTATTAGAGCAAAGGATCAAATATCAGGAGAACTAGCTTCCTTTCCCAACTTTGCTATGGACTTCTGATCTTGAGCAAGACATTTCCTTGGAGAATAGTGCTGTCTCATCTTGGTAAAATGTTTATTATTGTTGGTGAAAAACCTACAGTAAATGCTATTTCCTTGATGGGAAGTGGTGTGAGTATTTGCTTTTCTGTCTTTTTGCTCTCTCTTTACCTCATGAGGTTTGAGATGATTGATGCTGCAAGGAGCAAGTTACGTGTGAAGATGAGCTACTTAATGGTTGTCCTGACAGTACTGGGATGCTTAGCAATGGCCATTCAAGGGAAGCAGGTGAGTATTCAGAGCTGGCTGGGAAAGTGGAGCTTAACCTTCTCACCCAATCTTCAGATCCCTCTTGGGAATATAATGTAATAGGAAATACCAAGGAAGTGATAAAATAATGAGCCTGATACTTTCTCAGAACTTGCCCTCAGTATTTTGTGCAGTCCAGAGTAGAAATTTAGAAGTCATAGTTTTAAAGGAGAAAAACATGAAAAACTGTGGGTTTCCACTTGCAGGCTGGCAGAGTTCCAGCCTGCAAGGCGCTGGGGGAGTGGGGCATGCACATGCACGTGGCCAGGAATGTAGCCCCATGCAGAGGTGGAGAGAAGCTCCTACAGTAAGTTTGGGAGCGTTGGGAGGGGAGCATATTGCAGCAGCCATGGGGAGGGAGGGAGGGAGTGGGCAGGGTTGGTATCTGGGGCTGGGTGCACTGCCCAGCCTCCGGGATAGGTGCAGTAATGTGCGACTGCAGTAACGAGTAGGATAGGCAGAGTAGCGCGGGGAGGGGAGGCTCTGTGCTGCCACCACCGGGTGCCCTATAACAGCCATACTACCATGGCTATGGTCTCAGGTATAAGAGAACCTTTGCCTGACTGCCAAGAAACAGCTTAATAATGGGGAAATAGTGATAGCCTGTGTCCTTTTAATTCCATTAGGAAGTGCCACTTCCTCTCATTTGGAAGGAGAGTTTTCCAAGTGCTTTTTATTAACAAAAAACCTGGTGGTACAGTTAAAAAAAAAAAAAAAAAAAAACAACACAAGCATAATCCAGTGAAGTGCCTTTCACCCTGCATTCTCAGTCAACCCCAGCAAGATTGAAGGGTTCTTAGTAGGGCTGTGCAAAGCTTCAGGTGGTGATTCGATTTGGAGGAGATTTGGCCCAATTCAGCGGCCAGATCTCCAAATCAAATCGGGACCAGTTTGAAGGTCCGAATCAATGCAAAGCTTTCCGAGTCTTTGACAAAGATTCAGAGAGCTTTGATGATTTGGGCAGTCCCTGGTCCCAGTCACTTCCAACTGGTAAGTACTGGGGGAGGTGGGGGGCCCTGCTAGCCAGCCCGCCCCCCTTGCTTCCCCAGTCTCCCCCATGGCTGCCCTCGCCCACCCCAGCTCTGTACTTCAAAAAAAAGTTTCTTCAGGTTTTTTTCTTAAAGCGCCGGAGCTGGCCCATGCAGGGCACCTGTGAGGGGGCTGGGGAGCAGGGGGGAGGGGCAGTTCAGGGGTTCATACAGAGCCCCCCATGCAGTGGGGGCAGCAGGGATCACCTCCCACCTGGCAGCACCTGCTGAGCTGGGGCTTTTTTTTCCCCAAGTGCTGGGAGCTGGGGTGGGCGGGGCAACCATTGCTGGGCTGGGAGAGGGACAGGGGATGGGCCTGGCCTGGCTGATTCGGCCGAATCGAATCACTGTCTCCCGAATCAGCCGAATCCAAATCTGAAGCGAATACTAGCCGCTTTGCATAGGCCTAGTTCTTAGTGTCTGGTATGATCAGATCCTACAGTTTTCTTGGTTACATCACAAGAAGTCAAGAAATGTGAGAGCTTAAGGTCCAAACAGCAATATTAGTTGAGTTACATTCCATAAATGTAAAGTCCTTCCTTGACATACTCATTGGCTGCTAGAGCTAAACTATGTTAGTTGTGCAAAAACCATGTCTACATGGCAAACCCATTGTCCCTTGGGGTCTGTGCCCTTCAAGCATACTGCTCTGTTCTGGAAACGTTGTCTTGTAAATCAAAAGCCGTGGAACTGTTGCCAAAAGATGGGTTCACAGGTACTGCTGAGTGACAGTGCCAGTAAACGCACCTCCAAGCTAATGGGCCTGCCTCTGGCAGCAGCTGTATTGCTTTCCGGTTTAGGCAACTGTCTACCCAGAGCAGTGCAGCCTGTGTAAGGGCACTACTGCTGGGGACAGTGAGTTTGACACAGAGACCTGACCCAAGCCTGTGTTAATTGTTGTATGGCTTGACTTTGGCCACGTTAACATCATGTCAAATCAACAATGAGCTTTTGATGAGAGGAAAAGATACAGCCCCAAAGCATCCTTTCTGAGCAGGCAAGCACAGCTTCTTGTAAATTCACAGTAGTGTCCCTGAAAAATACACACACTATTTCCTGATCCTGTCATATGCACATGTTCTTGACTAAGTTAGCACTCAGACAGTTTGGAGTGTTAAATCTAATGAGCCCCAACATTCAGAAAATACTACTTGGGGCCTGGCCACAAGGTAGGAAGGTCAAAATTTAAGAGGTTGTATGTGGCCAGAATAGATTTCCTAAGTTGCTTCAGCATGTGCAGGTATGCTGAAGTGTACATTATGCTCCTGCATTGAACACTTTGTAATACGTGCTCAGTCGGACATGTGCAAGTGTTGTAAATTTGTAGAAAACTAGTCTTAAAATTTGTTATTAAGTCTTGCTTTCCTCAGTTCAGAATACAGGGGAACCTTGATAATTCAAAACACAGGGGACCAGAAAATTCCAGCCTGATAATAAACGGGGTTGAAATTATATAGCCACAATAATTTGCTTATATGCAAACTACAGCATGTACAGACTTGGTTATGCAGGAAGCCGCACAGGCATGAAATAGAACATTAACAGAAAAACCCCATGGTATAATCATTGTTTTAGTTTTATTTATTTTTGTAAACTGCTCTACTTTTTAGCATAAGCACTCATGTATGTTTTAACATACTGCAGGCTATATAAGATATTAGTTCAAAGCCAAATGTTTTGTGATTTAGAATGTGCTGGGGCTGGGCCCTAACAGAGTCAACAGCATTTCAAGCCATGGTGATCCCACAGCCCAGCATTAGTCAGTATGTGTGTTTACTACAGAGATCTCGCCACAAAGGATCCACATGCTAATTAGGCCCCCACTCGCAACTGGAACCAGGTGTTCTTGTCAAGCCGTAGGACCCTCCAAAAATTTAATGTGCAGATGGAGAATGGGGCCACGCCAATCATATGTGCCGTACCTAGTAAGGGGGTGAAAGAGCTTCTCATCTACATAGCCACTTAGTGAGGTTTGGACATTTAAGGATGATAAAAGAAACAGGAATCTTTGGAAATGAGAAAAAAGGTACGTGCTTAGCTGTGGGAGTGAAGGGGGAGTTGAAATGTAGTCAATGTAATGGTTCACCATGACTTGAAAAAGAGTCAGTGCTGAGAGGAATGGAGCACAATGGGCATTATGCTCAGATTCAGATGGACTGCACTAACCCAGTGGTTCTCAACCATTTTTATACCGGGACCCAGTTGCCAAGTCTGATGGCTTGTCCCAAGCTACAGCCCCCTGGCATTGCTGGCACCCCTGACCCCCGGGTCATAGCTCTGCCCACCCAGGCCATGCTGGCACCCCTCATTCCTGATCTGCAGTCCCCTGCCCCTGCCCAGTAGTCCCGGAGGGGGCCCCCAGCTGCCCCTGTCCCACTTGGGCCAGTGTGAGAGCAGTGAATGCTGCCCCCATCCTGCCCCCCAAGCAGCGTGTGTGGGCCCCTTCATCTATGGGTACTGGACCTGTGCTGCTGGCCCAGGCATGCAGCTCCCTGCTGCAAAGGACTAACCCTGGCTGTCAGGTGCCTTCTCCCCGCTCTGCCCTGCTGCAGTGCTGTGCCCGGCCACCATCCCTAGCGCTAGTGTGTGCACACGTGCACCCCCCCCCCCCCCCCCCCCCCCAAACCCCCCCA